AACGGACGTTCCCCTAAATCGAGAAACTGAATGATTTGGACGAGTAGTTGACGCAGAATTTTCGTTGCATCAGTGTCAATGGCTGCTTTCATAGTCCACCGGCCCGCCGGCGTGCCACGAGGCAGTGCTAGGGGGGAGGAGGGCGGCGGACGGTCGGTCAGTCCCTCGAAGGGCTGTAAACAAGGAGAGACAATAACAAAAACCATTTGTACGAGCCCCTGGTTCTTTGGTTTTTGATCTTGTTCTTCTTTGTTTTCACCACTTCGACCGACTGTCTGCCTCCCTCCTCCCCCCTAGCACTGCCTCGTGGCACGCCGGCCGGCCGGCCGGCGGACTATGAAAGCAGCCAATCGAAGCCCATGCGCCACATTAGCAAAGTGGCTGCGGAAAGCCGCGCCGAACATAATACACCCTAGTTTCAGCGCAATTTCGCGACGCAGCCGCTCAAGCGAAGAGCTTCTCCCATTTTGGCCTTTACGTTCTTTTTTTATTGAGTGGCATGTTGGTATGAAGTGATTTGTGACCAAACATCTGTGTTTTGTGTTCATTTCAATTTCTGCCGACACCCAAGATCATTACTGCAAATCAACAAACCAGTTTTTACAATTGCATGACCACATATTTTCATTAAGTGAGCTTTACCATTCCGTGAACTGTAAGAAAGAGTCCATTATACAATACATGTCATTGTCACGTTGTAAGATGAATCCCATTGATTCTCATCACTGCTTGAACTCTCCTGTCCTTGAACTTTTATCGTAGCACTGCTTTGCTTGAGCTGCAAAAATTAGCATGCCATTCGAATACATGAGCGCCGAAATTGTAAGGAACTAACGGTGTAGAGCTCCACCTTTGACTGCTTTGGCTTCCTTCCAGGCTTGGCTAGTTCCTTCGCACAGCTGTTCCTCGTATTTGTGTCAAATGGATTTTCGAGGCCTCATCTACCAAGGCGAAAATTGCTCCGAGCTTATCTTTTGCTTATAGCATTCTCCTCAAGAACTTCCTCTTCTTCTTTTTCACCGGTTCCACCATGCTTGTCCCTGCTCACCTCGTGAACCACACCGCATGGCGATTACCGCAACTAATTCCGGCTCGACTGCCAGCGCAGAACCAAGAAAAAGTGTCAGTGTAGGAACAAACGCCGCGAAGAATGGACGCTTTCTTTCCGCTGATCATTCACAGTTCCTGAGCGTTGCAGCTTACAGAAAGCTCCTCAGATGGCCTTGTGTGCACTTTCCATTGTTCGGTGTTTATCTCCTCAACTTTGTCTGGATAGACTTTAAACAATTTAGTACCACACAACGTGTGTTATACATAGATCTCGTCCGATTGTGCCAGCTCTTCCACTGTTCTTATCAGAAGACCATCCAGACAATCCGATCCGGCACTAACGTTACTGTGAAGGAACCCAGTTTTAGACGCCAATGCCATATATCACTAATCACTGTCGTGTAATTATTGCATTCCGATTCGCAAACGACGCCCATGTTGGTTTCTGTCTTAAAATGATGTTGAATTAGAAGCGAGAATCACATCCAAAACCAAGCTTGGGGAAGTATTTTCGTCTGGAAAACTTGGCCCTCCACTCTGATAAGTGTAAACACCTCACCAAAATGTTGTTGAAACGTGGGCAAGCCTTCAACCACCGAAATCTTTCTCTAAATCTTCTTCAGTCGCCATATACTCGGTGCTGAAGTTCCATCTCTGTCATTTTCAGTCAATGTGCCATCTGTAGTAGTCTACTCTTGCACGCGATTGAGGAATCACTAGGGTGAAGCCATTGTAAAAGCACGGCGTTTCGTCGGCGTCTATTTGCTTGGGTCAAACCCAGGTAATACACTATATTAACTCTACTGATAATATGGCCGCTATATCGAGTATAGTTGTTTAACCTTCTTGGCACGATAGTCTCGCCACAATCACCACTACACGATAGATTACCACGACTTTATTGCCACAAACGAAACCTCAAACTTTTGTAATTAAGCCATATGAATAAGAACATAACAAATACATACAAAAAGGCACGAACCGTCGAGGATATGGCGTATCGATAGAGATGTGCATATAAAGCGAAAGAAGTTAAGTGAGTGCGTATTGATATTTGATCAGCGTATAAAGCGCAAGTAAATATATGAGCATTTCTGAAGCGTAATAAAGAGCGTTATAAAAAGCATAGGAGAAGCGTGGATTACCTGAAGACAGCGTGGAAAACATCAAAAGCAACTGGCCTTTGTCCTCGTTCTGGCGTGCTTGTATATGCGAGGCATCGGGCCTCGCACGACGGGAATGTGGCATTTCGTTCTGTGAGAAAGTTGAGATGAGGAATGATGTTTCCAGTTGCGCAAGGCTGCGGCGAGATTGCAACTTGAACCGAGTTGCCTGTGAGGCGTTCTTGCACCATGTTTTCACCCTGTGCGGCTGAATTCTAGTCATTTCTCATGTGTGATAAGTCATGGTCGAGATTGATTGATTTAATAAGGAAATTATAGAAAGTCGCGTATTACCGCGAAGCACGCCCCCGATTTGGAGAAAAAGTTTTCTAGTTCTGCCGAAGTCATAGAACCACTGAGCAGAAGCGCTTAAACATTGTCATTTCATTTCCGATAGAAACTTTGAATACGATAGAATCGTAAAGCTGCTGGTATACCCACGTCTTTGTTGTTCAAACACATTACAGTTGCTAGTTTGAGGTTGTACTTTGATGCACTATGTATGTTATCGATGGAGACTCCTCTGCTTAGGGCTGATAACCTGGAAACAAAGTTTTTCGCTGATATTTTGTTACGGTGTTAACATCCCTCAAAGTCCGGAACATTTTCCCGTTGGCTCCTCAGCCAATTCTAGGAGTCGGATTTCTTTTTCGTCTGCGGTCTACACTTCCTGTCTTGCTTCAAGAACTCCATGTCTTCATTGTGACTTAATTCTGGTCTCAGTCCAAACCGTTTAACAAGGCTTCGGAGGACTGCTTTGGTCACATAATGTAATCTTAATGTGTCAGCCGGGTATTCCTTCCTGAGGCGTTTATGATATATTCATGCGAAAATTCTGAGGGTAATAGGTTAATGGGATTACTGAGAGACGTCACTTTAACGCATGTTCCAATTACCCTTTCAAAAGAACTGATATAGAGAGCGACGCAGGGTTTGTGCTCAACATGTCCAAGACACCCTTTCACGGTTACAGATCCACTGCTCCCTATTTTAAACATTAAAAAATAGGAACAGTGTAATGCATCCTTTTCGTGTTACCTGGATTTTCGTCTTTCTGACGTACTTGCCTGCCCTGTGGCATCCAATGTGAGGTTATTACCGGAGATCATCAGACTGAGTAATGAAAATGAACTTGCAGCTACCTCAATGAAAAGCTTCCTCTATTACGCGAACTGTCACAAGTATAAAAGAATGTTCTCCCTTGTTGTCACCGTTCCCCTGAACTTCGTGCAATAACTATACAACAAATTTTCTGGAACTTACCATCGAATGTGTTTCTTTAACAAACTCAGCAAACCTTTGTTAATTCAAATTCAATTTCATATTTATTACATGCAGGGCACATGTAATAGAACAAAACATCTGTAAGAAGGAAAAAGAAACATAAATAAAGAAATCACCAAACACTAAGAAGGAAAAGAACAACTGAATACATGCGAAAGGACAAAAGTGAATTTCTGGTACACGTAACAAGAAGCTAATTAGCGAGAGAAAGATTTCTATCTAACAGTTTTTTGAAACCTGTAATGGAACCCGGCACCATACATTTTTTGGCAGTTTTCGAGAAATCAGATTCAGCTCCAAAAGTGAAGAAGTTGCTACTCACAAAAGAACATGGATCAAGAAAAGAAGAAAAGTAAAAGGGAAAAGGAAGAAAAAAAGAAAAGAAAGTCGAAGAAAAATTTTGAGAGGTTGATCCCGTGTTGATGACTGGTATAATTTAAAGAAATCTCCAGATTTAAGATCAACCAAGACATAGAGCTTGAATACCATTAAGAGATCATTCTTTCTTCGTCGGAGCTCAAGAGAGTCTGATTTGAGCACAGTGTTCCTTATGATACTTCGCGGAATGCTGCGATAAGTGAAGCCCAGTGAACGGAGCCAGGCCAGTTGTTCATTATCAAAATAAAGCGTGTCCAGTGTGTAATCCTGTGGCTCTTCTTGCTCCTCATGTGGTTCTTCACAGTGCTTTGCTTCTCCTGCTTTGAAAACTGTTCTTCACACAGTGGACAGACAACCTCCCCTTTTGGGCAACACCCAAACGCACTAATGGACGGCTCGCTCCGATTTCACCACCTTCGTTTGTTCATTCGTGCAGAGGTGAACCGCTGACCATGACCTTGTTTCACATTTCGCATGCCCATAGGGGAGCTGTCGTTATTTCCTAACACAATAACATTTAAATTCGTCATGAATTCTCAATAAGCAAATAATTAGGTCAAAGTTTATGGCAGTAATTAGAAAGAAAAACGAGGCGCTTGTCAAGTAAATCATTAACCTATGAAAGTTGGAAGAAGCTTCTTGCTGTTGCAAGGAGATTTGCACTACTTCATGGTTAAATCATCGACTCTCCTTGCAAATCTCGTGTGGTCCATCTCAAGTGAAGGGCAGTGTCGTGACCGCATCGAAATTCATACATACGTAACCTGCCGCTCGCGGTGCGTCGCGTGCTGCGTGCGCAGATGGCTCTGATGGAGTCACGCGTGAATCGCACCTTACCCATAGAAGTAGTACTAAAGTAGTAAAAGTAGTAATAGTACTAGTAGCAGGAAGTAGTGTAGTAGTAATAAGGCGGGGCACTACAGCTTTGGCACCGTGCCAGGGGTTCCCGTCGCGAAAATTTGGCAAATGGCCACGAACGTATGGGGCAAATCATGTGCCCTCTTCTATCTCTCATGGGATGACTCATGGGGTGACGTGTATTGTTTTTCATCGCTCTTTAAATATCCGGTTTCATTAACTGATAACTTCACTGGTTTTAGATGTGTTGCCTGCAAGTAGGATAACATGGAGTGTAACGTATGGATCTCACTGCAAGGAAAAGAGCTCCTCAGTCCTACATCTTTGGTGGCTTCGGCAGCACTTTATTCGGAACTTCCTCTAACTGTGAGCGGAGCTTCCGGCGATTCCATTGATTTGATCTTCACTCGCGTAAGGTCAGTATGTTCGTATATTCTTCCTCTGTTTCAAAATTCTCAATCGTTATCGAGTTCTCTTTATGACTTAATGTCATATTAACCCAAAGAAATCATTTGTTTATGCATTCGATTAGCGTAAAATGCAGTGGTTCTTCGTGACTCAGGACAACAATGAAAACTTGTCTAGAGGCCTTTCAAATCCCCTTGAAAATATTCGAAGAAGAACTATTCAAAAGCCTAGTAATAGCATGCTGTTTCTTATACTTTTCATCTCTTCCTTCGTTCGCGATTTCGTTGTTTGGCTAGGGAAAGTAAGGTTCCGGCTCGCTAAAGTTTTGATCTGTTTTCGCAGGAGACTTGGTAATAGCTTTAGAGAAATTGCTTTCGCAAACTTCCAAGTGTATTCACCTCGGTTCCAACTAATATTGATTATGGGTGCCTTCATTTGGTGACTACCATCTCACAAACGTCATTCTTGTTAACCGGTAGCCAGAACATTCTTGACTACCGTTTAGAAATGATTAGAGAGAAGATTTACATTTCTCATCCAAATTGTCCGTTTTCAGGAACTCACGTGCACATTCCTCGCCATCCAAGCTCCAGGTAAGCGGATTCTTTTATGAACTCAAAAGAATTTATATTTCCGTTTTCATTGAAAAGCTTCTTCGAAGGTATAAAGAATACGATCGTTGACATAAATCGACTCGCTATAAAGCGTGGAGCTCCTATGATACGCTAAACCCGTTTAAGAACTTTTTCGATATGTTTTATAACTGTGGTGATGTTTTCCGCACGTGGTAACATCATTTTTTTTGTATGCACTTCTAGGCAAGAAGTTGTCACTTCGATGGAGAGAGTGATTTCTCTTTGAACACATTGAGTGCCTGCTCTCCATCGACTATATCCGGTATTATCTCTACGGGTTCTAATTATTTCATTCTCGACACAAAAAACTCTACTGGCTTCGTTTTATTACCACAAACGTTCGCCAGTTGTTGTAAGTTCACTTCAGCATCGCTTACCATTTTTTTTCTTGGCTTTGCTCTCACTGTTTATGGGCCTTTCTCACAACTTTTGTTTACAATACGTAGTTTTTAAATTCAAGACGATCAGACCTGTTCAGCTTTGAAGACACGTTCGAAAAGGGGAGGAGTCGAAACCAATACACTCCCCAGTTATTATACTGATTACAAAGATGGAAAATGGCGATACGTTGAACTTGCACTGGTCGCTGATTACTCTGTGGTTGGTTTGTTTATTAACGTATTTGCCGACATTACTTCTCAGAAATTTCTCTTAATTCCTCTAGTTGCCTAATTGAAATTTATTTTGGCTTCTAGCGTTAGATTCATATTGACATCGGAGTCATTCATGACAAAACCACTAGGTCAAGCTCAGAACAAGAGAAGTTTTTGTACCAGTTAAATTTACCCTTTGGCTAGAAGTCAGAAATTTTCTATTCTGGTAAATCATTGTCAATGAAGAATTTAGGAAATGAAACCAATATTGTTCACATAACTGCCTTTCTTCCCATCCCTTCTATATTTGTACATTGGTTCGTATTTTGTATTAGGTATTAGGGTGTCTCAAAAGTTTTGAGAAAGCGGAAGAAGATGGAGATCATCTCCTTATTGAGTGTGCCCTACGCTTTGCAACGGCTTCTGACCTAGTGTGGATTGGTAGCCACTGCAATTTCCTGCGTGGATTTTTATAAGAAATCCACTTGTTCTCCTGAGCGATGATGAAGCTCGTCCAAGCCACCTTTCGCTTGCGGTTGAGTAGCTTCCGACACACATCGACCCGCACCTGACGCTCGCGTTCAGTCAAAGTGTGGGGGGATAACTGCAGGAAGTGCTGCGCGAAAGCGACGTCGTTTAGGATGTCGCGGCTGGTGGAACGGGGAGCAGAAGTCGTCCTCTTTATTACCCTCAAGCTTTGAGGACTGCTTTGAATGGAGGCTAAGGCAATGTCGGTCTTGGTTGATCGTGGACGTCCGCTCAGTGGCACTTAGACGGAGTGAATCTCTCCTCTAGAGAAGGGACCGTACCACCTATAGCAGGTGGCGAGAGCCATTAAAGCCCGGAATGAATTGCAGTCATTGATGGGCGAGTACTGCCCATCGATGACTGCAATTCATTCCGGGCCTGAATGGCTGAGCGGCCAGAATCGTAGCAATGAAGTAGAAGACGTCGCTAGTCGTGTCGGTCGGACATAATTCTAATGCCCATAACTCACTTCCAAAGATGAAGTCAATACCGTACTATTGTTTTGACAATCTACAAAAAGTGCCCTTTTCCTGCCCATTGTACCGTGGCACTGCTTCGGCGCTTCCTTGCGCAACATGGTTGTGAAATTCATGTCCAAAATTTTCTCGAAACTTTTGGGACACTCTGATACATTGGCATGTTTTCTACATTGGTTCTTGAGCGGTTATCAAAACTGTCCCTAGTCCTGGGCTTAGGTGAGTAACATGCACGAGCAGCCACTTCCGGAGATTAAGCCCTGCATCTGTCAGGCCAATAAAACGTGCATCCTCTCAAACGTGTGCGATACCGCTTCACCAATCCATCTAGGACCAGCTGATTAGTACAGGTCTCGTCTGGGAGAGCAGAATCAAGCGTTTATTAGGAGGCACAGTTCACGATAGAAACGATTTCTGATATTTCTCCTCAGGATAAACGTATTACCGTGAAGGATAGTACAAGGGTCGCTCTCGGGTCGAAAAACGTCCACGGTAGTGGGTAATGAGGGAAACAAAACTGACCTAACGGACATATACATACATACGGGCGAGTTCTCACGGAGTTGTAAGGACTGTAGAGGTTGCGCCATTCGCACCGGTATGCACACGTTGCACGCAGGCAGCTGCTGTAGCCAGCTGTATGCAATGACACATTCATTTGAACAGATAGTTCAAATACCTCTTCCACGCAACTTTTGTCGTCATATTCTCGTCCAAGCCCTAATTTTATTATTTTTTTATGAAGGCTCAGGCTTAGACTAGGGCGGAGGTGGTATAGTGGCAAATAGCGCACTCTCTTACACGCACGGTCAGGGGTTCAGATGTATCCAACCTAGGCCAGTCAAGCCTTCCAATCCTTCGGGGTCGGTAAATTGGTGCCAGACTCGTCTGGAACGATAAAGGCACTGACTTTACATCGGCTGGCCACCGCAAGTCATTGTACAGACCACGTATGAGTTAATATGCCACTACGATTCTGAATGGAAGTCGAATGCGTGGACGCATCTCTCAGACGGGATTGGTTAAGGCCCCAAAACTTTACCCTTTTATCCTTTATGAAGGCCTATGTTCCTTAAATATGACGATTTCGTTTTCTCGTTTTCTCCGTCATTTTTGCACTATTCTCGACCATCACTTCCATTATTCGTCTAGAACTAGATACTCGAGAAATCATACTAAACTGTGCCTTGGAACGGCCAATTCACATCAGGACAATTTCTAGTCGCTGTGTATGGAAGGGAAGCTCTCGTCGTTGTTTTAAACTGATCAAAAGCTCAAGTTATATCAATTCAAGTGTTGATGAACGCCGAAAGAGTTTCTACTATCATTTTTTCCCTGAAATTTCGATTTCTCAAATTTTCTTTTGCGTTCAAACGATACAAATAAACGCACTGCGCTAGTTTTCTTTTCTGAGTGAAATTGCACTGTATTTCGTCATCTCCTCCTCATGAAATGGTTAGCTTGCGTTTTGGCATCGAAAATTTCCTGCTTCCTCTCAAACTGCTTTGTGGTGTCCAAGAAAGATGTGCAAGATCAGTCGTTCACTTAGAAAGTGGAAAGACTCTCTCAAGTCCCATAATAAAATATCTCCATCAAAGCAGTTCAGGCATGGTGTGGTTAGATTATATGACGCTCTACTGCTTTGACGCCGTTATTGTTGTAAAATTCAGCTATTTTTTACCATTGTCATTTTGTGAGATCCCAGTTGTCATATCTATTTATCGTATGACCCAACATTTGTTACATATTTACCTCTGATGTCTGCTTTTAGAGTTGCTAAAGTTTGTTTTTAGTACGCAAAATATGACAAAGATGAAGAGAAGGTATTGGAGCGACTCCAAACGATCGCTCATCATGTTAATGCGGTTAGTCGATAAACGTTTCCATTTGCTCTGCTTTTCGAGATTAATTACTTCTTTTGCGAAAACTTTCTTTGTTACACTGTTCAGATTCTTTCAGCTGTATTATCCGTTGAACATTCGCATTACATTGGTGTGGGCTGATATATGGAAAGATGGCGACAAATTCGAAGTTGTGACAAGTGGAGATCAAACTTTGATGCGCTTTCTAAATTACCGGAAGGAGATAATCAGAACTCATCCTAACGACAATGCTCACATGATTACGTGAGATGCTACACCTTTTTACAACTTCCTGCATAAGAATCTATTTTCTCTCTAGGTTCCATACCTTTCAGGTTGAAAGTTGATTTGGTTATATTACAGCTGATAGCTATTCTAAATCAGTGTAGTGAAAGAGTGAGTGGCAATCGAAGATGGTCTTTGGGTTGCGCTGAAACATGGTGCTGCTTATTACTACTTGAGCACATTCCATTATTTGCATCCCTTTTCTCTTTGCACTCGTTGACCAGCGGGAGAGAAGTTATGTTCATACTGAACTTTTCTGTCTGCAAATCAGTCCTCAACCCAATGACGACTATACATTTCCAAAAATTGGACTATTGAAATAGTTCCTTTGCGATCGAGATCCTGGCTGACCCAAAAAAAGCAGTAGGAATTAACGAAGTTGTCGGTGTGACGGATCTTTCTCCATTCGATTTGTTGGCCATTCCTAAACTTTGCCTTTTTTCCTAAGTCGAAGTTTTCCTCAGGCCAAAATAACTAGTTTCTCTTTAAGCGCCACCAGTTCCGGTGCATACCCCTCCCCCTGTGGGCGGGGTTTCGCTGTTCTCTATGTGCCCTGTCGGTCTTGTCTTACACCCATCCCAGGCTTTACCCATTCTCTAGAATGCTTCTTCGGATCATATTGAATTTCGTTACAGACAAAAGATACACCAAGTTTGTGGTTTATATATAGTAAGGATTGTTATATTTGATATGTGCAGTGATTCGCTTTATTGTAGTTCGTTGTCAGTGTGGAGACAAATCGAGCTAATCGCTGTGTTGAAATCTTGAGCACTTAATCCGTGACCAAAATCTCTAATATCTTGTTTATCTTTGGTAATTTATTTTTTGTGAACGTTGCTGTCCCCGTCAACTTCACTTCGACTCTGCTTATGCTTTCGCCTGCGCGCGTGCTCATGCTCTTCGTTTCCTGTCTATCGTTGCTCTAACCTTCCCTCGAAACCCTTGACCTGACCTGTTTGAATTGTTGTTTCAGTGAATGTATGTGTATGTGTGACATGCTGGGGTGTGTGCTCATACGTGTGGAGTACAGGTTCTCGTATCCGAACGATGTGCACTCGTCCCACTTGACCACCCGCTGTGAAGGAGAACATTTGGATTTTCGGTAGAAACCTAGGGTAACTGCATTGAAACCACTAGGTGCGCTAAAAGTTCCACGACGTGCATTGTTTCAACCGACCGACCGGGTGGCCATTTGTTGGGAACACTGTTCACCCAACGATTCCGCACGTCGGCGCGGGCGCGGACGCTCATGCGGCTCTGAGCGAAATCTGCCCTGCGTTGTGAACACGTCGTTGAACTCTGAAAGCGCAAATGACGCTCTCCATGGGAATAATACTACAATAGCCGCCACTCATACGTGTGCATATGTGCGTGGAAAACTGCAGCAGAGCCGCAGTTGTGATTACCACATTTATTAAGAGGAATACAGTTCTTCTTCGTTTTTGCACTTCACCTTAATCTCATTGATCCCAGCTCGTCAAAGAGACGGTCTAACAAACGAGTTTTTCGTTAACTATATTATTTCAATGTGCCAATGGAAATTCTTTAGGGACATACGTTTCGAACAGAACGTTGTTGGCAAAGCATTTAAGGGGACAATGTGCTCATACGACTATTCTGGTGGAGTTGACGTGGTTAGTTATTTTTTTATACAGTTTGCCATGCTACACGCTTACGAGGCGTTCGAACCGAAATTTCTATTGCTGCGAAGTTTCAGACTAAGAAAAGACCTTGCATGCGATTTCGAATAAGTCACACAAAAAATGTGGTCAGAAATGCGAAAAATACACGTACTCGCAGTAGACAACGCTCCCAAAACATATGTACTGTACAGCCACGTAAATGGTGCACACTGCAAACATCATTTTTTGTCATATTGCCTTCAATTTAGGATCACAGCACCAATGCTGCAATAGTGGCAGCGACAGTAGCTCATGAAATGGGTCATAATTTTGGAATGGAACATGATGTAGACTATGGGACGACCTGCAACTGCCCTGGAAACCATTGCGTTATGGCGCCTTCCACAGGGTTCTATCGTTTTCTTGTTTCACGCTGAATACAGTACGTCGAATCATATGTTCAGAATGTCACCTCCATCGTTTTGGTCGGATTGTAGTCTGCGTAATATCTACAACAGTTTTAATCGTGGTGTTGATCTTTGTTTGAAGAATCCCCCTGAAAAAAGTGTTGGAGGTGCAAAATGCGGGAATGGCGTTGTAGAACATGGCGAGGTGAGAATTTTCATCCGTTTGGTCTCGTAATAAGAAAGTTCTACCAGAACGAGTGCGATCTTTCCTGATGTGGTCGCCTCTCGAATTCTGTCATTTCACATTTTGTGCCTTATAGTCTAAATGAATGAAGTGAAAACCAGAACCATGCAGCCTCATGAGTAGTGTGTGTTGAGCACACACTACTCTGATCTGATTGCTGATCTTGTAGCGCCGTGGAACTTAAAAGCGTTCCTACACGTTTTTAAAACGAGATCATTCATGCAGTGTTTAAACCTCTACTCGTGAATTTTTCACCAGCGCAAGGAATAACCGAGAGCAGCGGAGTTTTTGTGGAATTAGCTGGTCTTTATAGGAATGTGACTGTGGACGAGAACAATGCTCACACGCCTGTTGTGATGGCAAAACGTGCACTTTGACTGCGAATGCTGAATGTGCCGAAGGGGACTGCTGTGATCTTCTTACCTGCAGGGTATTTCCTTTATCTCACTAAGGCCGTTCTAGCTATATGTTCGAAAATTCTCCATAAACGTTCGGACCCATTCAGCCAAAACCTCGAGCAACAGTCTGTCGAGCTTCGATTGGTATTTGTGATTTGCCTGAGTACTGCAATGGTGACACACCCGACTGTCCTGCCGACTTCTTTGTTCAGAATGGGCATCTCTGTCCAGGTAGAACAAACGTGGGTTTGCATTTATCTCTGTTGTATTCGGTTGGCAGCAATTTGATTATGTAGCATTTTTTGAGGGAAATACAGGTTCCTTCTCTTTACAAATGAGAAATATCCATAATATATAAAACATAGAATACTCAGGTACCCTTTCTATAGATGGAAACTACTAAAAGACAGGGTAACCTTCTAATGTAAACGTTTGAAGTACTTTGAAAAGTACGCGATACGGACGGCTTACCTCGTAGCCGAATTCCCACGGTCACCGTCGCTTACGCGGCAGTGGATTCCCGGAAGTTACCATAATTATTCATCTATAATTCAGGGTAGTGCGAACGCGGCACGAACTTTGGGTACATGATCCCAACCGTTTTACTTGCTTGGCACACTATGTGTCAAGTGTTATTATAACGCATACAAAAGAAGTTTTAACAGCAGATTTGAGATCATTGCGAGCGAATTATCGGAAATGTCTAGTAGTATTGGTCGCGGTGATTGAAAATTCGCACTGTTCAGTGGGGAAAACCTGGTATGTTATGTAATGTAATGCAATACTAATTGGCCTGTATTTACTAGGATCACAAGAAGGAGTCTTCTTGTTCAGCGGAATGACAAGGGCATGTTTCTCTTTTGGAAACTTCGGTACGAAAAGAAATCAAATAAAGGAGATATTCAAGAGGAGAGGAAAAGAATATACCAAGACCAGTTTGGTAAACTTGAAAGCGAATCCACTGCTGCGGTAGAGGAACGGTTGGCTTGAAAATTAATGAAAAGATTTATCACGATCAAACCGAACTGAATCAGGCAATTTTTAGGAAAACTCATCACCTCAAGAAAATGAATACACCATATTACATACGGCTCATATTTATATACGGCTACAAACGCCTCTACAAGTATTTTGCACATCTAAATTTGTCGTGAAATGTCAGGAAGCGTGAATAGTTGTGCATGCGTTTAGACACTTTTCTGAAAAACCAAATTGAGTGTATGCATCAAGGGTTCGAATCTTCTTGCCATGCTTGGATCGCGCTACCATAGCTGCTACGCCACTCTTGCACAGCGGAGTGGCTACTCGATTCCGTATACGTGCAGTACAGTGATATAACACAAGGGTAATGGTCCCGTTACTTTGTTCCTGGAATCTTTCGCAGATTTGGTGTTTGGATTTAAGATCAGCAGTTGGGGTACTCACGGTGTTGTGCATCTCATCTTGAATGGTCATCTCGACCCAGTATTCTTCCCTTGTTAGCCCTGTGTATTTCATGGTAAAACTTACGCTGCTACGCTCAATGTTAAAAAGCAAGCGAGGACATCACCAACAAGTTTTTTTTTCTGGCGAAAATCTGTCTTTTCCTGCGATAGGAAAGGTTTACCAAGTGTTTTCAGGAGTTCTGCTTCGAAGGTCAATGTGGTAGTCGACAAGATCAGTGCCATGCTATATGGGGGCCAACGGGTAGAGAAGGTGACAGAGCATGTTTCCAACAAAACACGAATGGGATTATTCAAGGGAATTGTGGGTACGATGCTCACACCGGCCATTACAAACGATGCCTTGCTGAGTGAGTGCGATTTTTTTTCTTTCATTTAAATTTGAAACACTTCATCAGGTTTTCGTTATCTCCACTGCTTCCTTCTCGACTCTCTTTTTGTAAAGTCGTTGATTAAGAATTTACTTATGAGCGCGCTGATTTCTTCTCTCTGAAGTTGTTATATGCCATTCTACAGTGACATAATGTGTGGACGACTTCAATGTGAAACTCAAGCAGAACGACCTATATTTGGTGATTTAGCCACTGTGACTTCCGCATACACGTATGTAAGTGTAGGTGAGTCATTCCGTTGTAGTCACTCAAATAAGGAAAGAATTCCTCTACTCAAGGAACTGAGACTCATCAATGTCACGTCATAAAGACAACTTATGTATCTGGCCACAAAAACACCCCAGACCCTGGCATGGTTCTTGACGGAGCAGTATGCGGAGATAACAAGGTTTTATTCGGAAGTTGTACATCATCGTCTTCTCAGTTAATCGGAAATTCGTATTCAAGATTTGTGTGGGTGCCAAATGCGAGAGTAAAAGCGAAGTCTCCAAGATGGTTTCGAAATGTAATGATCAATGCAACTACAGAGGTATGTTCCTTAATATATCCAGGTTCACACAGTTTTAATGTTGTAAGGATATTAGAAGTAAGAAAAAAAGCGGGAGGTCAAACCTAGGAAGAGGTCAGCTGCCGGTTGTTTGTAGCAAATAATGTTTTCTGTTTTTGTTTTTTCAAGTTTCAATGTTTATATTGTTCCAATGAACTTATAATTCCGTTAAAGATGTAAATATGGAGGGCGGAGGTGGTGTAGTGGCAAGTGGCGCAATTCGCACACGCATGGTCACGGGTTCGAATTCCGGACCGATATCCACCTGGGCCAAAAAAGCCTTCACTCCGGGGTCGGTTAGTTGGTCGCAAGCACCGGTACTGTACATCGGCTGGCCACTGCAAGTCACTGTATAGGTCACATACGCATTCAATACGCCACTACGATTCTAATGGAAGTCGAATGCATAGGAAAGTGATTGATTAACGTCCCGAGACTTTAGGGTTTTTATGTAGATATAGTAGTTTTGTCAAACGGTTAATAAACGAATTGATGCTGTATGTATGAAAAAGCTCCATGAATTCTTTTCAGGCATATGTAATAATGTTGGTAATTGTCATTGTGAGAACGGTTTCGGAGGAATCGCGTGCGAAATTCCCGGCTTTGGAGGTTCAGTTAACAGTAATACATCACATACTAGCAGGGGGTACGCTTTATTTTTGATTTCTTGATCCTTAGATTAGCACTGTAGACGTTTGTTTTCAATATCCAACTAATTTTAAGAATAACCCCGTCAACAATGTTCCTCTTCCTCTTTGCGTTATTCTCTGCAGCGATACTATTTGTCTGTTTCTTTTACTGGTTTAAAAAGAAGCGAAATCTCCCAAAAGAGTAAGTTGGCTGTTCTGTTGAATAATTTTTTCCTCAAGTTGCTGTTAAAGATTTTGGAAGTATGTGAGGGACAATCTGAAGTTGTATGGCGTCTTAGTTCCCGTTCGAAAGGCACCGCCTCCTCCAAGTGATGGAAGACGCACGAGGTTCGTAATTTGATGCTACTTCACTTTTTTTGCGCGTTATGTGCCTTTATTTATATCGTGTGAATTATTGTTGCCGTTTTGAATGATAGAGTATTTGCACAGTAAATTCAAAGCAAGGATCTCGTTTGGCTTGAGCTTTTTTCGATAGTTGTCTCCGAAATTGAAGGCTTGATCCTACCTTCATTTCCTGTATGCGGAGTTGGTCATTAAAGAATTGACCTTTACCAATATTCCTATTCTTGATTCTCAAAACCTTCGGTAGCTACAATCATTGAACTACCGCCGCTAGTAAGCATCCCGTGTCGATTATTTTAGCGGTTTTGTTTTGAACATGCATCTCAGGTCATTTCCACGTCTTTTGTATAACGACTCGTCGCTGTGTCTTGGCGACTACTACACTCCTTTCTTCCTCTTCCTAGCAATAATCTCGTGCCGTCGCAGGGTCCGCTGTTTTTGTTATTTATTGTATTTCCTTGGATTCATTTCCTGATTTCATTTTCTTCGCTAAATTTGAGTACATCGTAGTGCTCATCACGACTTCTCATTTCTCTCTTAGGGCATTCGATGGCTTCAAGGCTTTTTTTCTTTGGAGAGGGCTATAGGCATCAGTTATGATTTTTTTGATCATCATCATCTTCATCTTTAGCATTTGTCCCACTCAGCAGAGGGATCCGCTTTGCTGGTGTGTTGACGCCACTATTTCTAATTCAATGAATAGCCGAGATAGGGTCAACTATTTCCCATGCAGTGTGTCAAGAGATACTTTGGTGTTCCTCAGCCGTCTTCCAGGCATGCCGAAATCAAAGACGATCTTACCAACACTGTTTTTGGCCACACGTGGGACACAATCTTACGCATGGTTGCGATTATAGTCCAAACGCGTGACTTCATTGACAGCATTTTCGTTTCCGTTGGCTCGAGACGTGCCTGAAGTTCTCAGGTTACAGGCCACCACACCGCACTGTAAACCGCGACTGTTCTCATAATAGGGCTGTAGATTTTTGATTCAAGGCGCTTGTCGGTGTCCTCGAGTGTCATTTAGACCAAGCCGCATTCACAGGCGGTGCGAGGTCATGTTCCCCCATGACGTTCACCTGCAGTCCAAACCAGACAGTCATGCCAGGCCTTGCTCGAGTACCTTTTTTTCCTGCAAGCAAGCATTACGTCGTCGGTGTAGGGAGACGTTAACGGCACTGGACGTAGTCTGAAGAAAGGACAGCCACTGTTTTCCGTTTCTCACGATTCTTTTGTAGCAAGAGGCATGTAACACGTATTGCATCGGTGGTGCTGCAATCGAAGACAAAACCACACTGGTTTATGGGGACTGGACGAGTTCTCGAATACGGGCGTCTACCCTTCGCGAGGACCTTCATACTGTGCGGGAGGAGGCGAATCGCGCGAAAGCTCATGGAGACCGCAAAGCTGCCCTACATCCTCCAAACGAAATGGATGTACTCTGATGCTAAATCGCAAAAAGCTTCTTTTCTGCGGCAGCCGAGGTGAGGGATCTCGTCAAGCATCCTGAATGATTTCAGCACCGCGATTCGCAGATATCAGCTACCAAGTCATTTGAAGGAGAACCAGTTGCTTTGCCAGAGATCATCTTCTTCCTAACTATTTTTGCATTCTCCAATGTTATCTTTGTTCGGGACCTTGTACGGGCAAAGCGCAATGCAGAGGCGGATGGGCAAATACTTCTGCTGGGATACACACAGAGTAGTCCTGCCAACGTTTGGGTGCTCTCTTTTGTCCTATTAGCAGGAGGCCAATCTCTTCGTTCTTCGCGAAGAACTCGAGTTCTTTAGTCTGGTCATGGCGGGCTCAAGCAAGAGGGCAAATAATGTATCAGTCGCCATCACGCCTTTCGAGTTTCACTGATATCAATGTAACGAGCAGCTTTTGCATCAGCCACAGCCTTCTTTGCTTTCCAATACTTCTGCCAGTTATCAATCGTCTAATCAAGAAGAAACATGTAGCAGAGTCTTTTTCACGCGCATCTTCTTCTCTCTGACGCTATCTGTTCATAGCCACGCTTGCCTATCAATCTTCGTCGTCCGAGGGAGGCCCAATACGGTAGCGTTGGGTTGGTTCATAAAAACTCAAGCCGAGAACAGGCTGCCCAAAGAATTGAGATAGCGTCTTTTTGAGCATTGGTAAATTTCTTACTAAACGACAATAGATTTGGGACTTATGTTTGTGCTCTTACCAGGTGAGGATTTCCGGAACTCTCCGGTAGTGGATTTGTTCGAGAAAATCGTTGTCATGGAGTAACCGCAGCCAATTTCTCCTGTACTGGCAGCTTTCAGAGTCCACCGCTATGCCTTCCGAGCCGGCCGGCGGCATTGCGCGCTGCTTGCGCTGCGCACACTGAGCCGATAGCTCACATGTCAATGTTGTCAACAAGTGGCTAGCGTCGCCGCCGGCAAGCACGCGTGCTTGCTCGAGGCTTACTGGAGTACTCTGAAAGCAGCCCTTGTTGTATCATCGTCATGTTCTAGTGTACCTACATTGCTGTTAGGAGCTGCTGCTGCACTGGTTGTGTTGTAGCCTCTCAGGGTTGCAGCTGGTTCCTGCGTGTGCCTTTGGCGTTATTGAAGAGATTCATACATACGTCAAGAAAATGTTAAATGCGACTTCACCATATTTTCACTGAACAAAAAACCATTTACAATAAACCTCTCGATTCTATTCAACTGTTCTTACAAATACAGCGCTGGTATTACTACTGTTTAAATTCGATTTGGGTTAATCGTGCTCGTAAAGACGAGTATCAATGTATGGTTATGTTGAACTTTGTGCTTGTTTCTGATTGAGTGATCATTTTTATTGGGTCAATATGTTTATTGACATACAGAAAAAGATTTTTTTAGGGAAAGCCTGAATGCAGTGCGGCTAGGTGGAGGAGTGACGCTCACATTCAACGAAAGACCATCGTCATTTATACCTCCAGCTATTCCACTGATGAGTGTAAATGGTCAGGCGCAGTATCAGCCTCATAGTCCAGATCAGCTTCTCGGGCACGCCCCCTCATCAAAGCCTCAGGCAGTCTTAACTAAGGTTTGTCCTTTGTTTTAACATTGTTTAAAGTTCTTTGCTGGGTGTAACTTGTCTGTACTAATTTTCAACTTCATGGTTGAGCTAGATGAATGGCAAGGCTAAGCATCGAAACGCTGCTGCAGCTGCTCCCTTCCAGTTATATCATATATAACGTCGCGTCTATCTGAATTACACATGGCTTGAACAAGCACCTGGGGAGGTCGGATCAAGGGGAGGGGCATGCACCGGTGTTGGGCAGTGCTGTAGGCAAAACTCCCTGTGATCTCGTAAGACTCCAGACACCGTGAGAAATGACCAAAGGTGAGGGATGAATCAGAAAAAGAAATAAGGAAGGCTTACTTGCTGTGGGCGGAGCGTGCAGTGGCCCACATAAGCCTGTAACTCGATTCAACGCAGGCGTGGAGGTCAGATAAAAAAAAANAAAAAAAAACTAAAAGGAGTGAGCGGGGCCTTATGGTGTTAGGTATGCATTAGCCGAGCGAGTCCCCGCCTGAACAGAGTTCGCCCCGACGGGCGGGGCCTGCGTTGAAATGGAAGCTGGTTCTTAAAAATGAGTATAACTCTATTTTCAGAAACGCGCAGGAAAAAGTGGTTAGGGGTAATTGGAGAAATGTTTTCAAATGCCCGAACTTTGCGGGGTATGCATTAAAGTAGGCGGGGCTAGGATCAATGATTCACAAATCTGTTCAGAAACGTGAATGTGGGAAGAAGTTGTTGGAGGTTGTAGAAGAAATGAGGTCGTATTTCGGATGTGGGAGGAGCCTGCACGAGTGGGCTAGGCTAGGATCAAAAATTCATATCTCTGTTCAGAAAGTTACAGGACGCGGAAAAGAAAGCGATTGGAGGGTAAAAGAAATGTGGTCAGATTCTATAAATCCACGTGGTTGGCATTGAGTGGGAGGAGATAAAGTCAGAAAATCATAACTCCGGTAAAAAAAAANNNAAAAAAAAATGTGGAAAAAATTATTGGAGACCAGTAGAGAGTGCAGTCGACCCCCAGAATTGGGCGCGGTCTGCAGCGAGGTGGGTGGGACCAAGACCAAGTTTAACGAGGACGTCCTTGACGTTTGGAAATCGCTTCAAATATATGTATGGACTATGTATGGAGTCAACTTCATTACTTACTTCCTATGGCATAAGTAACATGCTTTGGAATGAGCAGTGCTATGAGAAAAACATAATTTATCTTCAATAGCTCAGTCACCGGGAAAGATGGGCAAAGATCAGGAATAGGACTACGCGGACAGAGCAGACTCATCCGCGGTGAGCGGAGATCCTCGACCTTTTTGCATAACTCATAACCAACACAGCCTCTAGCCAGATTCTCAGGGGATGAAGCACAGATCAAGCTCAAAGTAAAATTTGATCTCCTTCTGACGCGTTCTTTGTTGTGACGCACGTGTTAGTGTGCGGTGCTCAACTGACCATTTCACATTTACTCCGAGAAATCTCTTCCTGCCGCTTAGGCAGAGCTTGGCCTCCCACATTGACTCTCATGCGCTCTTGTATTACTTCTTTTTTAATTTTCATACTTTCTGAGTATACAGCATTTTTAGCCTCACTTCACAAGAACGACGAGCTCAGTTCGACCCAAAGAGCCTCCTCCAACGGTGCCCAGTCGCCCGCCTAGCTCGGTAGTCCAAGCACTCTATACAGAACGTGGTGCAGAGATGAGAATCAAAAGGTACTGCTGGGTTTTTTTTTNTTTTTTTTTCTTAAGAATTATTATTTCAAATGCTAACGCTGTAACTATACCAGTAACGTATAAAACAGTTGGTTTTGTGAAATTCGTTCATTCCTGATTTTGTACCATTTATGTGTTATTTCACATGGTTTCTCTTTTTAGCCCGTCTGATTTAATTTCGCGATATCTTTCGTCTCCATCACCTAAGGATCTGGCAGGGACCATGAAGCAAGATACGAACCGACCAATTCAGCCACCACCACCTCCTCCAC